GGGGGGCCGCCCCCGGGTGCACCGCCCCTGGGCGCGCAAGTGTCCCCGCCCCCTGGCGTCCGGCGGGCAAACGGCCACGCCCCCTGGCGCCCGCCAACCTCAAAAGGTTGGGGACCACTGGTCTAGAGAGAACATGACACTGAGACACATGGACCACACCTGTAAACAACAACAACAAATAGCTGTGCTAAACCACTCTTTTATTAGGAGATGGCAGTTACGAAGAGACCACAGCCTAACGTTTCAAGTGAATGAGCTATATTTGCAAAGAAAAATGGTTGTGTCTGTGCTTTGCATTAAATATTTATTTCTCATATTCTATATCAGTTCTAAACTTCAAAATTTACTTTTTTCAGATCAAGAGTTCTTAAAACTTCAAGCTAAGTTACAATGAATAAATGGCTCAAGACCACCAGTGTTATTTAGAATGTAATAGCTTTCTACCTCCCTCTTACACTCTTTATTACTCAGAAATTCAGTCTCAAATCATATTCATTTAGAAGGCATTTTTAAATTATCTGTTTGAAAAAAAACATGCTTAAACGATGTTCTAAATTGCTACTGACCCACAAAATAGGACAGGCCTGGGATCTTTTTGAACCATACCTTTTTCCTTTTACAACAACAACAAAAAGTACAGACTTTCAAATTATGATGTTTTTCAAAAACTTTGACAATAACATTTTTCTCCATACACCACAGTGAAATGCGATTTACACAGATTCAACCTCTATACTCCAGATTTCACAGATGTTGCCGGACATGGGGTCCTGCATCCCTGTGGGTGCTCCCAAGCTGGAGCACTCACTGGGAAAAGCAGGGCTCCATGCTCAGCAACTCCTCCCTCCACTCTCCCAAAGTGCGGCAAATAGCTCGTGTGCAGCGCGCTCCAGCGCAGGGAGGGAGGGAAAGGGGACACTCGGGGGAAGAGGCAGGTTGGCTGCAGAGCCCTGTTATCGGGTGCTAGGAGCACAGCCCCACAGCAGATGGTGGAGGGAGGGGCTGGGAGCGTAGTCCAGCCCACTGCATTCCTGTGGGACTTCTCCCCTGGTCCCCAGACATGGGGCTCCACATCCACCTGCCTCTTCCCCCGAGCACCCCACCTTCCAGTTCCCACTCAGTCAATGTCAGCCCCTTTGCAGCCACTGGAGCATTCCCCACAGCCAGAGGGGCCAGCACTGGCCTTCCCGTCCAGCAGATTTCCTGATTCAGGGAGGTACAAAGGCACAATCATAGAAATGTAGGGCTGGAAGGGAACTCAGGAGCCATCTAGTCCAGCCCTTGCACTGAGACAGAAATGGCTCATTTGATTAAGTCAGAATATCCTCTCTTCCGGACAACCAGTTTGCTTTAGGAATATTATTATTCTTTTATTGAATTCAGCTTTTCTGGTGGTTTCACATTTGAACCAATAGCCCCCTAGTAAATATGTAATATCAGCTATCATTAGTTTGAGCAGCATGTTTGTGCCACGCTTCCCTTCACTGGAATTCAGCAATATGAAATATGACTGCATTAATATATTACCAGCTTTGAACTCTTTAAAACAAAAACAGCTGCCACAATAGGGCCTAGCCTTAGCGCAGTAGTGTTCAAGTGTTTAGTCTATCTGCTCCTTTAGGAAGGCTGCCAGCAACTCAGAGCCACGCAGGAACAACTCTGCTATATGTGAAATCTGATCAAGACTTGAGTGATTCTTCTGGGCCCAGAAATGCTAAACTTCTAGTCTCCCATGTTTTGTTGCCATATATTTCTACACAGTAAGAAGCAATAAGAAGTCCCTTATCCTAGTCTGATAAAACAACACAGAAATCCATCTTGTAAGCCTAGTGTAAAATATACAATAGCTTCTTCACAATCTCTGATCAATGTCCAAACAATTTTTAGACACAAGCTCATGTGCGGGCTTTCTTTAAATGTTCACTTAGTCAACATGACAATGAATGAAGATTTTTACTTTTAATTTTACCATTAAATAACTAGTTTTTCCTATGGGTTGGATACTGTCAAAGCAGCCTCACAGGCTCCACACAAGGTTGTAATTAGGCAGGTGAATGGTTAACCAGTAAATTGGTGGGCTAGAGCAGCCCCCCCCCCTCCCCAACGTGGGCAGGAGGCTGGAGCAGCCCCCGCCTGCGGTGGGCCCAGGCCCAGCCCAGCCTGCTGTGGACAAGGGTGCTCCAGCCCAGACAGAGATGCCCCCGCCCTCCCCGGTTTAAGTGATTAACCGGTTAAACATTATGTTTAGCCAGTTAACTGATTACGTGGGATTTTACATCCCTTGTTGAAATGCTGCTGTGCTGTTTATTACCTTTCCCCCAGAGTTATGGGGGCATTGCAAGCAGAAGTTTCTTGCTGGTGAATAAGAGCTCTGTGATTATAACAATTTGATCCACCCTGTTGAATCAAGGTGTCTGGTCCCTTTTCACAGAGCCCTGTCTGGAAATATCACAGGTGTTGGTCCCCACCATCCTACTTATCAACCCTTTATTCACTCTCCTCCCCTTCATCCACCTCACAAATGCATGAAACAGTTCTGAACACGATAGCACCTCTGCTCCCAGCCCTGATGGAGGAAATCCTACCAGCTAGGTCAGAGCAAGCATTTAGGGTTGGGAAAAGGAAGCTGTGCACTTTGAGTCATGGGCTGTACAGCCATTTTATTGAAATGAATACATGTATTGGAGCCTTCAATTTGTTTGAACTGTCCCTACCTCTTTCTTTTAAAAATCCAAACCAAAACACTTACCTGTGCAGGCAGGTCACTTGGTTTCAGGTCTGGTACCCCACCATCAGAACGGCGAGACCTGTAGCGTCCCTCAGAGTCAGCGTTTCGAAACCGGTCCTCTGCATTGCTTGCTGCTTCTGATGCCTCTGGCCGTGAGCCATCCACCTCCATAGGCATGTGGTGTCCATTTTCCTGTTCAGAATTCTGGCTGTCTTTGCTTCCCTTGCTATCCTTTCCCGACGGAATTCTGGCAATGACCCCAAACTTCCTAGTTCTTTTCCCATTCTGAGCGGTTCTGTCACTTCGCTCTGAGGTAGGCTTTGCTTTGGGTTCACAGCTGTTGCTGTTGTTGCCATTTGATGGAGGAAGAGGGGCTTTGCGCTTAATGCGACGGAACATGATCAGGTAGATGAAGCCGCCATTCCAGCACTGATCAGCCAGGTAGCTGTGAGCAAATAGAAAAGTTTAGATTATAAACCAATTGTCCTATAAACCTCATGTTGCAAATACAGTCAATGGGTATTTATTTCACTAGATACTGCACTTTCTAATAGGATTCTTTCCCCAACTCAATTATTACCAAATGCAATGATATATTAAAACACCTTGAAACATCAGAAAATGATCCCTACCACTGGTATCAGAAGTTGTGAGATGGGCCAATTTACAAAGGAGTTCTGTGCTTTTGCTTCAAAGAAGACTGTTTTGCACACAGTCCTAAAAGGTATGCCATGCTCATGGAGAAAACATTCCCCATCACCAAAATGCTTCTTGCATATAAATCAGAGAAGATGCATTTGAAACAGGGAGTTAAAAAAAACAAACAACAAAGCCCGGAAACAGGCTAATCATATGTTGGTATTCATGACAACTGGCAAAAACCAGTCAGCTGGTCATCTTCCATAATTCAAGCTCGGAATGCGAGGCAGGTGTTTAAACAGCACAATGAGATGACAGAACGTAGCAAAAAAGACAAAGAAAATATTTTTCCCTCTCCAACGGAAACAAAAAAACATGTCAGCCAAGCTTCCTTTGTGCAGAAGCCCACACCATATTTGCATCTAAAATGCAGCCTTTCCCTTGAAATACATCTTTGGTTTTGGCTTGGATACACATGCCCTAGATCTCGGGGCAAATTCACTGTTTCTATAAGTAGGCTCCAATTGCCTCAGTACAACAAAACATTACACTATAAACTATGATGTACCTATTGGAGCTAATAAAAAGACAAGGAAAGAAGGTGGGCTGCTTTCTATGATGTCGGTTCTGGTAAAGAGGTAGGTGAGTGTGGAAGTAGCAGCCATTAAGTAGCAGCACACTCATTTACAAAATATCATTCCTACTTCCAACATTTGAATGATACTTTGCGTCACTGTATTTCTACATCAGGCAAAAACCAATTACTTCCATGGAGGTGCACCACTATGTTCCAAGGATGAATCTGGGTTCTTGTGTGTTTTGGAATAACATATGCCTCACTCTACATTCTTTAAATACAGTACTGTATTTGACTTTCGAGCCAAAGGTATAATCATCTGAGAGTGCAAATAAGCTTGAATTTGTACTTAACAAGTTTGGATGAATCCCTTCTGGTACAGCCCACGCTAATTTAGGTTGCATTGCCTTCTTTGCTGGTGAAAGCAGAAACTGCTTCCTAGAAAAATCAAGAGAACCACTAACATGGAGCTGTTGGTAAAAGTACAGTAAATCAACTTCTCGAGAGCAGAAAGTAATGCCTATAAAGGAACTAAGGCATAAGGAGGTGAGAGCACTCCGGGACTGTCAGAATCACAAGAGTCTGAGAGATTAAGTCCAGAAGGGCTCACCACATCATCCAGTCTGGCCTCCTATACAACACAGGCCACCAAAATCACCCAGCCCCTGCACAATCAACTGAACAACCACAATTAGCCCAAAGTCTCATAGGAGATTAACTAGCATGGGCCACAGGCAGAGAACAGAGGAGGAGGAGGAAACTAAGGTGTGCCAGTGTTTGAGGCTGCCCGCAATGGCTGGGAATTAAGTGAGAGACACCCAGACAATCCTGGCAAGTAGGCTGCACTCCAGACTGCGGAGAAAGACAAAAAAAAAAACCCAAAGGGCCCCTGCCAAACTGAGTTGGGGAAAATTCCTTCCAAACCCCACATGTGGAAATCCATTAGATCCTGAGCATGCGAACAACAGCCAGCCAGCCAAGCACATGAGAGAACGATTTCCCTTCCCAACCAACTTGCACAATACAGCTATACTGTTAATGCTAACCAGCTGTGCTGCCCCACCCCCATCCCAGCTGCCACCCAGCTGAGCTGGGCTTGTTGCACCACCAGTAAAGCTGAGAGGGAGCATGCCGGGTATGAACACAGGAAGCCTAGAACAAGTTTAGGAGTGAGGAGGGTTTTATGGAGTGACAAGGGCGAGTGATCAAGTGAGTGTCAAACTTTGGTGGTGGGTTTTTTGGTATTTCTACATGAAAGAAAGAATGGACTGTACGTTGCTGAGTGAGTGGAGGAGGCATGCTGAGCTGGAAGAGGCAATGAAGGTCTTTGCTTAATTGATAATTTTGGTTCAGTTCTTCCTTGCGTTTAGGTGTCCTTTTTAGAAAATCCAGCCCGCACAATTGGCCCTAGTCAGTAAGACTGGTTTTAAAGGCATTTAGTTAGACATTACTCCACTCAGCCCTGTAAGACTGACAAGCTTTAGGAGTCTAGCTTTCAGTTTCAAAAGTGACTTACTCATTTACCCAACAAAAGGTAGAAGCCTAAATAATTGTTGGAAAGGAGATTAAGGCTCCTAAGTCACTTAGGCCCCACAATGCTGAATGGACCAATGCTTAAATACTTTTAGAAATGTGTGTCTATTTCATCAGGGAGACCAATGACTGAATGAACATGGTAACCACAGGCTCATCTCATCAGAAATATTCCCTGCAGAATAAAATTGAAGCATGTAATGGATAGGAGGAATGCTGGCTTTTTCTGAACATCCCAGAATTTGGTGACTAAAAAGTTAAACTCAGATTACAAGGGGGTGTTGGCAGGGAGACAGAAAATCCAATGAGAGAAGGTGTTGAGATTCGAATTGGAAGATATACCTGATTGCTGCTGTTCTTTGTGTGTGTTTTAAGCCAGGAGTTGGGGAAGCAAGATGAATTGAACCAGGCAGAACTACCATGTCTACAAAGAATACTGGGCTACTGGGAATGGAAATGGACTGGCCCTTGAAGCATGGATTGTAAGTAGATAGGAAAATGTCTATTTAGTCACAATCAGGTTATTTTCTTTGTTTTGTTGTTTGGTTAAACTTCTCTGTGGTAAGTCCTTGTGCACCCATCCCCATACACTGTACTTTAAGCTGTATCCCAGGGATGGAATTTTCTCGGTGTTTTTAAATTGTTCTTTTCTCAGTTGCTTTAAAACACCTAGCAATCAAGCATGCTTTAGCAAGTACATCTTTTTGTTTTGTTTAATAAAAATCACCTTTTTAAAGTGGTGATTTGATTCTTGTGTCTTAGAAAGTAATAGGAGGTCTGTGTATGCATTCTTAAGACTGAGAGGTCAGTGATCAGAGATTACAGTTTGTTTTCTCTTTTTTTATTCAAACTCTTGTGTTAGAAGACCATGGGGTACTTCTCTGGAAGAAGCTCCAAGTGCTTCTTCCTGGATTCAAGAAGAAAAGGGGTTTTCACTTGGTAGTGGCAGCCTATCACCCAAGGCCAGGGAATCTGTGATCTTAGAATCACAGAATCATAGAACACTAGACCTGGAAGCAGCCTTGAGAGATCATCAAGACCAGTCCCCTGTCATCACAGCAGGACCAAGCACCATCTAGATCTTCGATAGATGTCTATCCCACCTGCTCTTAAATATCTCCAGTAATGGAGATTCCACAAACCTCCCTGAGCAATTTATTCACACAGACAGTTAGGAAGTTTTTCCTAATGTCCAACCTAAACCTCCCTTGCTGCAATTTAAGACCACTGGAAAACTTTTAAGCGGAAGCCAGTAGAGGCAAGGTATTTGTAAGATCTTTTGCAGGCCCCCACCTTCTGCTTTTGGAGTGCCAGAGTGGGGAACAGCCTTGACAAAGCAAAATGAGTATGAGGGGAGGGAAAGTCTGTACTGATAATGGCTATGCCATTCTGCATGTTCATTCTCAGTGAACATGCAGAGGACTTCAGTCACCACGATTACTTTTCATAAGCACTGTAATCATTTAAAAAAAAATAAAAACAATCTTTTTTCTCAATTGTCTAGAAGTTGGCAAAACAGTACAAGAGCCTACTTTCACATGGAATATCTTGGGAAGGGTGGTCACCAATGCATCCAAAGGTTATATCACAATGTTCCAGTAACAAACGGAGATATTTTGATTATCAAGTTAAGACCATCATCCCTTCAAAATCAACAGGAGAGAGGTAGTTTTTTTCCAGAAATGGTATGGGCTGCCTGGTTTTCACATTTATTTTTCAAGCTCAAATTTCAAGTCAGCCAGTAACGTTGATTAAAATTCATGACTTTTGCTTGCAGCAATACCTTTGCACTCTGATCCATCACATATAAATAGCTTTGCTTCTCCTGAAGGAGAGAAAGGGAAGTGTCTCCTGCTCTAACAAGCCTACGATCGGTTTTGCCTGCTATGCCATTCAAATACATACATTTCTCTGCATTAACAATTGCATGTTGTTTTAAGCACTGGTAATACAGTACTTCCTTTAGACAAATTCACCAACAAGATGAAATGACAGAGAATACAGCAGACAAATATCTGTTAAGTCCAGAAAAAATAAAATTCTAAAAACATATTGCAAATAAAGCAATTTTATACAGGAAAACAAAATATGATCCCTGTCATTTTATGTTATTTTGGTGACATGCTAGTTTTATTCATAATGTGTACAAAAATGCTTTGGAATAAAGATACAATATTCTAAATGTTCATTTTATGAATATTTAACCCACTGTCCATTCAAGGATATGCTTAGAGAGCCAGATCCTCAGTTAGTGTAAATGGATGTAGCTCCCGAGTTCCATAAAACTACAGTGAAACTTTAGGAAGATCTGGCCCACATACTCCAGTTATGCAACCTGTGGGAACTCACGTTTCTATGCTCCCTTGATCGCTTCAGGACAGTTCTAAGCATGGACTACACTTCTATGAAAAAATGAGAACAAATCGACACAGAAGAACAAGTGAGTCTCTCTGAATAGCAATAACCAGGCCAGCAGCCATATCACCTCAGGCAATGATCTTGTCAGATCTTCCAGGTCAAGGGAAAACTAGGTGTTGGGAAAACAAGTATCGATGCAGCAGGTGGCACTGTTCATTCTGACTCAGTGGTGAATCAACACCCAAACATCCCTGTGTTGGAATAATTTTGCTAATGAACAACTCTCAGCTATTTTTTTGTGGACAGGAATAACCCAGGTCTTGATCATTTAATATACA